TGGTCGTTTGTTTCAGGGTCGTAAGCATACATCTAAGTCCTGATAGTCATTGTTTCACACACATAAACGCGAGCGCTTTCGGTCAAAATTGAAAAATACACTCTTGGTCGTTTGGTAAGGACAAGCGTAAATATATAACACATAATGACATTGCCATCAAATTTGGACATATGTCATAAGCATCACTCAAGAAAAAAATGTTGCCCGAATTAGTATAGCGACTAATTTTGACTTTTTAAATGAAGACTCGAAATTGTTTTGCAAGTTTTTCGTAAAGAATATTATCTTTCGAAAGTAATACAAAAAAATATATATAAACAAAAAAAAATATATATAAACATTGTATTCAGGTTTTGCTCCTGAAAAAATACAGTTACTTCTGGAAATAATGGTAAACTTTCCAACAAATTATCAACCTTGCATATTGTCTCTATTATTTTTTCCATCAGAGTACATAATATTTAGCGACAAAAAGGCTCTCGTGAAAATAATTCTGTTATTAAATGGAATAAGAGTAACACAATAACATATATGTATGCCAGCAATGTGTGAAGAACAAAAACAAAAAGAAAGTCGAAGGGGTAATACAAATTCAGAATAATGGAAAAAGGTACAACGACTCTCCAAAACCGGAATTACCGTAGTTATGTACAACTTTCTGGGTTTCAGGTTCAATATATGTACATATGTAACTTTTGCTTTATGTAAAGCAGCGCGGATCGAGATTACAGCAATCGACAGTCAAACGAAACTTTATTCGAACTAATTTTCGTAAATCATTCGCGCTTTTATTTATACTTTAAGCCCGCAATCGAGGCAAGGGACAAAAACACAAATTAATAAACTCTCCTCCCCGCACGGTCCACGCGACCTGTATTGAGCTCAATGCGAGACAAAGCAAACTGCAATCGAACACCTGAACCGCTCAACGCGTTAGCTAGCGAAGCAAGAGGAAATCTGATAAAACGGAGAGCTTGCGATCCGCGAAGAAAGGAAAGGGACAATACAGTAGGCATACTCTGCATTATCACATTTAAATTATATGGAAATTATAGAGCAATACCAGGAGTCATTCTTATTCATTCTTCTTTTAGGCCCTTCTTTTTTCAAGAAAATCATTTTTAATTATAAGCCGAAGTTACATTTTGTTTTTATTTTACCTCAATTTACAATCCAACATTTCAAATTTAAATTCATTAATTCAAATTTTGATTGTAAAAATATAATGTAATTATTAAGATTATTATTTAAGAGTGTTAATATTTTAAGAGATTTCACGTCACATTTATAAGTACTATATCGTAAGGTGACTCGACTGTCAGATACCCTTTACTCTGTTTTAAGTTTTAATTGAAATAAAATTTCAAGGCATTTATATTTCTACATTACCGATGCCATCACTACGCCACCTAGCGGAGGGTACTGACCATGCCAAAGCCTGTTTAACTTAGTTAGTCAAAACTTTTAAAATAACAACTTAAGTTTACACTTAAACAAATGCCTCAAATATGTGGCCGCCAGGCAGACTTTAACGTTAAGGGGCGTTAAAGTGGGCGTGCTTGCGCTGCTTAAGAACCCCTAGAATCCGTATACTTAATCCCAACATTCTAGCTTTTATAGTTTCCAAGGTACCAGCGTTCATACGGACAGACAGACAGAGTCGAAAAACGGAAAACGTTTCTCATCTACTTGTTACTTACTTTTTAAAGAGTCTAGTATATCCTTTAACTCAACGATTAACGGTTATAAATTCAGAAAAGTGATAATAAATACCTTTTTAGATGTAAAGAAAGAATGGTGCTACAGAATACCCAGGAATTTAATATTATTTTTGCAATTTATTTCTGCGAGCTTCTATTATTATATGGGCATGACTGATAACCCAGACGCAAAAGAACCGCGTCCTATAAATAAGGGGTTTCCCACACTCCATGGAAAACAGGTTAAGGCTGTCACGTGCCGCCACACACTACAATCAACAAGTTTAGTTGAAAAACTGCTCACACTTTAATGCAACTCAATGCGGGTAAAAACAACTCCCCGAGGCGTTGCTGGGGGCTAGTCTTTCACGCGGTCCCGCGCCCAACTATTTGCATACGGCATATTTTAAATTAGCAATTCGACATTTATAATTACAAGTTGTGCACACATTTTAAAGTATTTATTTCATAATTGCGTTTGGACGTGTGCTAAAAAAAGAGTATTTACCGACATTAATCGGGCAGTTTTTGTTAAATCCCAGGTTTTTTATCTTTAATTAATGTAGGGTGCGAATTGGGGTGGGAAAATAGGATTATCGTTTTCATTTAAATTGGCCGGAAGTTATTTGCCGTCAGATGCTAATGCTTTTGAGAAACGAAAGAGGAATTTTTGTTGTGGCTTCGACAGCCGTTTATTATTATCGTACACAAAAAACAACTATAATGTTAATTTATGTTTGTTTGTAAAACAACGGCTATAAACAAATAAAAAGGCTCTTGCCGGCCGAACTCTAATTTATTTATGAAACGATTTAAGCAACACAATATAATGTTCGCTAAAAATTTGCTAATAAGCACTCCACGCCCTTTTCGCCATCCAATTTATTCGATTAGCAATATTTAAAATTAAGCCAGAAATATATGGGCTCGATTTAAGCTCAGGGCACATCCCCCAAAAATAAACACAATGCTAATACGGCTTTCCTGCCTTCCGTTTCATCGTTACAACTGCCTGCCTTTGATTTAATTAAGAATTCGCTTCGGCCGCCTAATTATTCATCACTTCAATTTATTGTCTCTGAAGTCGGCTTCCAGGCATTATATTTTAATCAGAGATGGCAAGTTACAAGATATTCCAAACAATTTCAGGCAACTTTTGAACAAAGCAAATAGCTTTGCCAAAGGCAGCCAATCAATAAGTTTCTGCGATGGAAAGTATCTCTAGACTTCCGTCGCGGAAGAACATGCCATGAGAAATAACTTAACGAGTTATTAACCGCAAGGAACTTTTCAGCATCGAAGTCTGCCCAGCTCCCTTCTTATCCTCCTCTACATTTTCCATTCTACGCTTTCATCAAGAGCCCTCGCCAAATTAGAGAACACACTGTGGTAGTTATTTCCGCATAAATTTATATTGCGCCTAAATTTTGGTTAGTTATCCCCGGACAGCTTTGAATAAATTTGGCATTTTCGCCAGCAATGACGGAAAACTAGAACAGCCCACGAATTCTTTACTCCCTCAATTTAGCACAACGCAATCGGCCTTTAATTACCGCGAATCCTCCCACAAAGAAACCTATTTCACTGTAATTAAGACAGATATTTATTATCTGATTCATTCCACTTTCACAAATAATTATCACAAGCGATTTGTGATTGTGATTTCTCGCTTTTGTGTGGGGTGCGATGCGGAAACGTCTTTATATTGCTCAAATGCATACGTTAGTACGGGTAAATTAATGTCAGCTGGCATGATACTGGGCTAGTCAGTAATTAACGAGGTAGACAGACTAACTGTCTGACTGTTGCTTAACTGCGAGTCGCGTTCTAAATGAGCTTCTGTGGAAGAATATTATTCAGATTGGTTGCGGTACCCAAGAAATGAATGTTATCTGGTCTCCCGACTTGTCAGCTAAAGTGCGTATTTTTAGAACGTACTTGGGATAGTTATTCCTCTTACTCGTAGCGTATAAAGGTATACCCTATTTTGGGGAAAAGTAAGTAACAGGTAGAGGGAAGAGTTTTCGACCACAGCATATATATTTTTGATTATGATCACTAGCCTAGTCGGACGCTGTGATCTCGGAAACTATAAAAGCTAGATTTTAGATTTAGATTCCTTTAAGGAAGCAGCTAATAGCTGCGTATTCAGCGCAAGTATTTTATCCCTTATGTTATATGCCACGCCAAATATTACACTTATAAAGCGCCCCCGTGAACGCCGATATTTCAGAAATTGTAAAACTTGATAGTTGATATTTGGCATGCAAATAATAGAAATTCACGCCCACAAACCGACAAAACTGTTACTCCCAAATTTTTGAAGATGACAACTAAAAATGCATATCATTTTACTACGCTTCACAATACCTACCGTCAAAATTGTTAAAATCTGACCATTAGTTAATAATATATGATTACGCCAGTCACTAGCAAGAACATCGTCAATGTTGTAATAGCCAGTAGATACGTGTACAATGTAATGTAGGCCAAATATAAAAATTTATGTTCCTTCGTCTCTACCCGAGGATATATTTTTATTTTGAAGTAGGTTAGCTGAGTAACGGGTATGTTATAGTCGAAGCACTCGACATTAGCGTTCTCTCTTGCCTTAATAGTGAATTCAAACAGCCAAAATTACTAACTTTTCAAGTTGCGTATTTGAATCAAGAACATTTAACTTCTCTAGTGCTTTTTTAAACGACTATGCTTTGAAGACAAGGCAAACAGGACCAAGTACAAATGAAGATCGTAAAACACTGTCAACGCCATAGGAAATATATGTATTAATGCCAATAGTACAGCTTAATAAAAGGCTCTAACTCTTCACTTAAATGATTAACATGTAATAAATTAATCAATAACTGTGGCGGTTAAGCTGGGTTCGAACTAGTTTAATACTAGTTTAATGCAGCGTCATTGATCTCCACCAGTTCTTGATGGGTGTCATAGAGCATTACCTCAACTCCACAACAGTCCTCGTCTAAAACAATGCGATCTCTCTGGGCTGGCTGTGCAAAACCCACACCAACGCCGGGCTAACTTTAACTCAGCTAGTCGTGGCAGCGAAAACACCTGCAGAGGCCGAGAGCTTTGTGATCGAATCGAAACCAAACCCGACCGAATGCGGCAAGCGCTGATGATGAACTCAAACGAGCTGTAGACAAAAGTCCGCCAAGTTGGCATGGAGAGGCACGGAGAACCAACGTTCAAGCAATTTGCTATGAAAATGAGCGGATTTGACAACGGCCATAATTTTCATACGCTCAGCTTCACAATTATTAAGCATAACACCAGATCTTAATTGATACAACTCACGTACACCGGTACGAATTGAACTGTATTGGTTTTGCCCTAAATGCGTAGTTGGAGTTCGTTATATCTATCTACAGAAAGTCAGTTATATGCCGAACTGGGCGCGCTGCTTGGAAGTCCCCGGGTGCGCATCATCCTGGTCGGACTTGGCGCTCTGCTGATAGACCAGGCCGTCCACGCCAGGAATCGTGTTGCATCCCACGCAGGCGTGTAAGGTCTCGTGGATGAAGACGTCGCAGTCGACGCAGAAGAACTGTTTGCAGAATCCGCATTTATAGACGACTTTATCGGCGACCTTGTCTGCCACCTGCCCGAGGGCCTTGAAGCAGGCGTAGCACTCCCTGACCCCGCTGTCGCGGTCTGAGGAGGAGGCCGGCATTGCCTCAAACGGAAGTTCCTCAAAGTTAGGCACCGGGAACAGGTGGTGATAGGACCGCGCCAGGTGCGGCGCCGAGACTAGGGTGAGTCCGCAGGATTGACACTCGACGGGGAGCTCGCAGTATTTGCTGTTGCACTGCGGGCAATGGTGACCAGTGGTGCACAGTTCGCTGGGCTCCTCCAGGTTTCCTATGTGGCACATGCACATGGACAGCGGCGCGTCCTTGCCCTCCACCTCGTTTTTGGTGTGAGGAAAACCCATTCGAATAAGCGAATAGTGCTGGGTCTTTGCTGCGGGCGGTGGATCCACCTGGGACATAAGTTGGTCGCGGAAATGGGCGTCATCCAGAACAGCCCCAAAAGTACCCATCGTCTGCTGTGTGAGGTAGCGGGCCACGTGAATCTCGGCCGACAAGGAGATTACCGAGCAACGAATGCCCTCCTTCTTCAGCTCGTCGATGGTGAGGTTGATGTCCACTGGATCACAGGTGGTTAACGAACCCATTATAATGACGATCTCGCGGGATGCGTGGGAGGGGACAACCTTCAGCGTTTTCAACGCTAGATCCAGGCCGTTTTGCAGCGACGGTTCGCTGGTCAGGGAGACGTTGGCCAAGCTGAAACAATACGTGAATGAGTTGGAAGTAGAGCAATGAATCGGAACCCACCCCTCTAGCGCCTTGAGGTGAACGCGCGACGTCCCGGTGAGCTCGGTCACCTTTTCCGCCCGCTTGGCCTTCAGCGCTATGATGCCCAACTGGCTGATGGGGTTCTGGTCGAAGAACTCCTCGATGAACACCTCCAGCAGCTTCACGGTACAGCGCAGTCGCGTAGGCTTCAGGTCCGGCACGCTCATGGACTCAGAGCAGTCCAGCACGAGGAACAGGTGCCGCATCATGCCCAGGCGGTTCTGCTTGGTCTTTTGAGCCTGCCGCTGGCGCTTTGCCTTCTGAATGATCTCCGCAATGGCTCCATCCAGCTGGCCGTCCTCGTCGTCTTTGATCGCCTCCCTAAAAATATTGATCGTAAGTGCGCTCACATCACCTCACGCTTCGCTCACCAGGTCTTTTCGTAGCCCGTCTCCCAGCGATACTCCTTCTGGTCATCCTGCTCGTCGTCGGCCATTATTGCAGTTCTGTTGTACTACTTGGAATCGAATTGAATAAATTAAACAAACCCCAACAGAGGCACCGGCAAATTATACAGTGTGTACACACCGCGCTGAGAATAAATACAATTGGCTGGGTTGCCACCTTGAGTGATAACGGATCATTGTCGCACTTAAATAATTTTAATAGTTAGATCAGGAGAAAAAGTTATCCAATTTTAAAATGTACATTTAACGTTCTTTGGCTATTAAACAAAACGTTTATATTTTTATCATTGCAAAGCGCGCAAAGTTACCACATCGATAAATAATCTCACCACGCTGCATGATTGGCTGTCGAAGTGCACCGCCACGCGGGCGAACGGAAAAGAGCTCTACACTCGATGTCTGGGCATTTAAGTGCAGCGTACATATAGAAAAGCGCGAAATATAATAAAAAAATGCAAAGATAACATATAGTTTGAAAACAAGCACAGCTACAATTGTCGAAAACAATTGGCCTCTCCATGCAGTGCAAGTTTTTTTAAGCAGCCAACCCAAATTGGACAAAAGGGCATACAAAGGTTCGCCTAGCCGGTACCAAATCATCACTGGCCGCTTTTCGTGCAACCGAACCAATTTTGCGTTTGGCATTCAGAGTTCGCGCGTACAATTTTGTCAGCAGCAGCCGCGGCTGCTCGTGTCGAAAAGTAGGAATCAGTTAAATTAAAATTAAGGTTCAAAAACTGTGTTCAGTTTGATTTTGCAAACGAAAGGTTTATGAAGGTGTGTGCAAAAGTGTAGTGGCAAAAATGTAACAATATCTCGTAGTGGGACAGGATGATCCGCAAAGCCTACTTATTTGGTGGCTGCGAAATTTTAGCGGGCAACCTGAATTTGTACTGATTAATAAAAGGGCATAGTTAATATGATTATTTAAAGTAAAAGGATCCGGTCCAGCCCTAGAGTTAGTTTATCCCATTATTTGTGTTCTGCATACAAGTTTTGGACTGAAACATTTAAAAACTTGCAGAAGTGCTATAAAACAATTCGTCTTATAACATGTATCACTTTGTGTAGTGTAGTTTTATACGGCAATGAACCGGCGCTCTTGTTTTTTTAATGCAGTTTTCAGTGTCTTTTTGTTTGTCCCAAAGCGCCGCTGCATATTACCATCGCATTGCAGATGTACATATGCTCAAACTCACCACACCGGGCACACACCGTAGACAGCGACTGCGTGCGTTGCCACCCGGTTCAAGTGCAAACACACCACGGCACTGTACTTTTTTCTCTGCCTGTTAACCGATTTTAAAAGCCAAGCAATAACAATAATTGACGCTCCGTTCTACAATATTTAAAAGTTACACTCTAAATGCATTCCACAGAGGCTTGGGCGCTGGGGTCGTGAATAATGTTGGCACAGGAGATTGCACCCACGGAAATCGGCAAACACGCAAACATTATCAGAGGTGAGTGGACCAAACCAAATTACGCGAACTGTGCTAATTGCCAATTTTGTATTTTGCCCTGCAGCTGCCCAAGAGGAACTGGCAAACATGGACGTTCTTGTGTGCGGACGCTGTCTGAGGGCCTACAACTTTGTGGAAGAGTTCCAGGCCCACAAAGAGGATGCCTGCGAGAAGGAGAACGCCAATCTTAAGGAGACGCTTGACACCAAGCCCACCATTTGGGCCTTCACGCTGTGGAAAGCCACACAGCTGCACACGCGCAAGGACGCCAACTCTGCCAACTCCTGGGCTCTTTACCAGCACTGGGTAAAACTGGAGGAAAGTGTTCGGGAGCCATGGATCGTTGCCGGAAAGACCATACAGTCCTTCGGCAAGATTGCACACGGACAGCTCCAGGACATGCCGGTGCGCATTACCAAGACGGTGGTTAATCCAACCAATAACAACACGTCTAACAGCAACAACAACACGAGCGTTTCCCCCACCAGAAGTATTTAAATACTCTAGGATAATTTGTTGATTAGATATTATATTTTGCATTTGTATTGCCAGAATCCCCGGCCGGCAAGCTGCCCACACTGGCCAATCAGCTTAAGGACACCGAAAACGAAAGGCCCAAGTCCAAGCCGGGAACCCCCACGCTTCCCTCAGCGCCTTCTGCCGGAACAGTCAAGCCCAACAACCGCATTGCCATTCGGATCGATTCCAAGACAGAACAGCGCACCGAAGAGCCAGTGGAGAAGATAGTGGCCAAGCGTTTCAACCCGCGCCGCAAGACCCACGAGTATTTGGTAAAGTGGGTGGATCGCTCGCACCATGAAAACACCTGGGAAGTGATGGCCAATCTTGAGCGGGTGCCGTACTTCCTGCAGATGTTCGAGAAGCAACTTGCCCGACAGAAGCTTACTCGGGAAAAGGGTTTGGACGCCTTAAAACGCACTCAGCCGCCAGGGTCATCCGCGAAGGGCGAAACCGTCGCTCCCCTCAGCCCGATCTCGACGCCATCCCAAGTTTCGCCATCATCTCGACCCTCACGCACTTCCAAAACCAAGGCCATGGACTCGTTCAAGCAGTGGGTCAATGAAACTGGTGGCGGTGATGGTTCCTCATCGCCTTCCTCTGCCAACGAGGATGAATCCGCAACGGAACAAGAGTGGCCCCCGTCTACGGGTCCGGTCAAGCGCAAGCTCAACCACACGGACTCCAGCCTCGAGGGCAGCGGCCTAAACGACTCGATGGAACTAGAGGATCTTGAAGAGGATCTGCCATCACACACTGTGAAGCGTCTAAAAAACGGAGGAAGCTCCGTGCAGCTGAACAAGCCACGGGTTCAGCCCACGGAAAAGCAGCAGACTAAAGTCAATGGCAACTCCGCCGCCGTGTCCGCAACGGAGCAAAAAATGGGTGAGATTATCTACACGGAGGACAGCACGAGTTCGGGCATGTTCCGCAAACCTGAGATGCCCAACACCATACACCTGGTAAATAGTGGCAATAACGTTTCTGTGCATCAGAAATTTACTAACGATCCTCGTACTCCGTTCCAGAAAAAGGAGAAGCCGGAATGTCCCGTGCGGTACCTAACGCGCTCCGAGGTGGGTAGCAGCACGAGAGGTGTCTTTCGGGTTGAGCATTCTGAGGTACCGGCCCCCGTTTCACCAGCAGCCATGGCGCCCCAGAAAATCAACGCCGCGCCTGTAACCACAGGCGTAGCCAAGCGCCTTCCAGTGGCCCGGCCTGCTCACTCCGGTACCAGCTCGCCCATCACTGTTGGTCAGAGACAACAGGTTCTGCGCACCCCAGGCCAGGGCCCCACAACAGCAGCAGTTCAACGTCGTCCTGTACTGGGTACCACACACACACAGGTGCGCCAGAGCATGCAGCAGGCGCCGGGCCGAGCTCACCCGGGTGGCCGAGTCCTAGCACGCGCCGGTGTTGGAACGCCGCAACAACGCCAACAGGGCGCCAAGGCAGTGACGCCTGAGCAAAAGATTTTACAGCTTTCCAAGTCGGGCGACTTGAAAGTTACACGTAAGGTGGTGACCCGTGAAGAGCTGCTAGCCCAGCGTTCTGCCCAGGCTCGCCAGCGTCAGGTTCTGGCCCAGCAGCAGCAATCCACCCAAATGCAGAAAGTGACTCCTGGACGACAGCGGATAACTCCCAAGCCAGCGCTTCAGCCAACGCCGCTGCAGATGGAGCTGGAGGAAGAGGTTAATCAGCACCAGGCTCAGCTGTGTCCAATCACCGGCAAGCTTATCGGTCAGGAGGAGACTCAGCTGCAAATGGAACAGGAACAGCAGCAAGAGCAACAACGCGAGCAGTTGGAGGCCGCGGCACAGGCCCTCCTGGGTAGCGATCAACAAGTTCTTACAAACGAGGACGGCTCGGCCTTGCTGGTGCGTGGCGAGGACGGGACTGTCTACCAGGTGGCTGGAAAAAATGCAGAGGGCCAAACCATACTTGTCACCCAGGGCCCGGATGGCGAGCAGCAATTTGCGTACGTGGCTGCAGCAGAGGGAGAAGACCAAGATGTTCTCTCCCTTGACCACGCAGTTGCCGAAGCCGTTCAGGCCGGAGAACAGGTTGAGTCGCATGGTGTCGCAGCAGCGACGGCGGACGGCGAGCAGATTCTTGTGTCCATGACAGAGGAGGAACTAGCACAACACCAGGTGCTTCAACAAGCAGAGGCTTCTGCAGCAGGCACCGGAACACCGGCAACGGCCCAGATCCATATCACGACCTCTGACAGCGATGGCACGGAGGCACAGATACCGGCCGAGGTGGTGCAGGCAGATCTGCCTTCCCCGGGTAAGTTGTGATGATTGCTGTTTAAATACGGAATCTCTAACTATTAAATTGTTTTCAGGTGGTACCCGTCGCGTTGTTTTATTGCTACAGGATGGCACCTTCATGATGACTGAGATGCACGAAGAACAGTTCAAGACGCTCAACATCCCGACGTAAAAATATGTTAATAGTATCTAAACCTAGATTATATATATATAAGGCGTAGTCCATAAGCCGATAATATTGAAAGAACCTGACGTCGCTAGGTTACTCCCACCTTCAGTTCCGTTTAGCCTTAGCATTTCCACACTGTAGGCAGCAATTATGCATGACCAATGACTCAGGGCCGTGTTTGCCAGTGGTTTTAAAATCATTATTTTGTTAAGATCATAACCGGGAACCATTGTAGATTACAAAGCTGATCTAGCCAAACATAATGGTGCGTCAAAAAAAAAGCAGAGAGCGATGAAATAAACTATGCGAATACCTAAATTATGCCATTATTTAATCGTGGGAGGCGGCTTTTGGATCTTAGTTTAAACATTCAATCGGTTCACTATATGCTATTGACCTTGCCCATATGAAGGATTCAACTTCCACAAACACTCTTGATTGCTTAATAATAGTCTGATCCCGGCCAAATCAATGATAATTCGTTAAGTGTGAACTTTCCCTTAATCTAGAATTCGTAGAAACTTTAAGACAAGCAATTTAAGCACATTATTAATTGTATGTCTTAGAATAGTTTGAAATACAATCTTTGCATTTTAGCAAAAACAATATAGGAAATAAAAGCAGACTTAGCTGTAAGTAAAATTATGTTAGATATGAATTGTAATTTATATAAGTACTTTTAATCTAGAGAACTTAAAGACATCAGCAAGTTTATTAATTTAGGAAGAATGTTTAACAGCTGTGGGAGAGCAAAGCCTAAAATGTTCTTAATCTACTAATGCTTTTTAAAGTTTGAAATTCCTTTGATCGTCTACATTAGGCCTTGCGTTTGTTACTTCGGAAGCCGGCTTACATCCGCAAAGCAACTTAACTATAAAGCCTAAAAAACAATAAAAAATAATTTCAGTTAAGTTTGTTTTTTCCATCTGTCTTTATTAATCTTGGAATGGCCATTGCAGAGGCGTCCTGCAAGATGTGGTCAAAGCTGCCACAGGGAACCCAGTGAATTCTCCACTCGGTGTATGGCAGCTACACGATATAGTCGTACAATTAACAAATTGTTTTATTTAATTTTCTAAAATTGTATAAAATAGCGGTTTCCCAGAGTAGATACGGATATGGTAAACATTCTTTTTACTATTTATTATGGCAACTCTTTTCCTGATCCTTATTATCCCAGCTATACCATATACCATATATTGTTACTTTTTCAACTGATAGCTTCTTATGCTCAAAATTGTATTGTAAGCGCATCTTAAATAAGCTGTTCAGTCGCTATGAGCACAAACTATCCTAGCCCCTTAACTATGTTTACCCCAGTCTTTTCTAATCTTAAAAACTTAGTATTGACAGTATAAAGAAATTCAAATTTTCTTTTTTTGTTCTAACGTTACAGACTTCGACGATTTGTGGGCGATGAAATGGCGGCCAAAAAAACTAGCGCTGCTTGACTTTATAGTTTCCGAGATCTCGGCGTTCATACGGAAATATACGGAGGTGTTACAGAAAAATCTTCGAATGATAAATATTTACGAATAATGAAAAATGATCTTTTTTTATTTTTTTAATCCATAAAATGGCAGGTAACTTCAGTTTGGTCTTGTAAATTTCCTTTCATTTTATTTTTGTACGGGGTTAATGAGATTATTTCTCCTTAACAGACTAAACTTATTAGCAGCAGTATTTTTAAAAACATATTGATCTCGAGCCCAAAGTAATTGTAACAGCAACTTTAAAGCTGTCAGACTGATTCTAGTATGGATGGTAAATATTAACTACCGATATATAAGATACTTGAAAAAAATCCAAATACCTGGATCGAATTATAGGGAAAACCAATTTTCTATTTAAAAGAGGATGTAGAGCACCCGTACGTATTTTTATGATCATTGCTGTATATTTTCGATACAATTTAAAAAAAACAAAAACATAGTTTTAAGCCGGTTCAAATCCACGGTTAAAAACGCTTTCGATCTTAAAGTGTGGTAATACTTTCGATTTATCTAAATCGATGGCAACTGTTATCGTCGTGGTGAAGAAGAGACGTGGCACTAGATTGAGATTTCACCACGGCGCTGTACGCTATTGCCGTCCCGCTCTTGCACATGGTCCGACAAGCCCTGCGCTGGCCCATCTCTATCGGCAACGTTTATGTTGGTGAGTTTGCAGTTTTTTCAACGGCAAGTGTATTCTCGGTCAAGTTTTATATTGCTCTGTGATTTTAGACATTTCCAAGCAGAAGTTTTTAAAATTTCCGCTCTAATCCGTGTGCATTTGATTCAAGTAGTTGGTGCGTATGTGTTTTCAGTCGAAATCAGGGGTTGTATGCTATATAATTAGACCTATTGTTTGATTTAAGAACTTCCGCAGCAATGTGGAAGATGTCGGTGTGTTCGTATAGGTGTGGGCAATAGACTGCACACGCACACTCATGCAACGTTCGCGGCTGTGGGGAAAGTGGAAGACCAGTATTGGAAGTCGACCGAACTTATCGACGGCGTTTTGTTTGTTGCATTTGCGTGTCACACAACGGGGGCCAGGGCGTTATAGTATCTAATGCTACATTGGTTAAAAATGCATAGTCAAATTATATAATAGCCGAACAATTGTCGACTTCGGCCCACCAAAAACAGTGCCTTGTGTTCATCGACTATCGGACGAGTCTGCTATCGATACCATTTTCCCCATTATCTTTCTCTTCACAATTCGGTGTGTGGTGTGTTTGGCGCAGAGAAAATTCAATCAAAGAAAAATCCACGAAAAGGCCTGATTAGTCGGTAAATAAACGTGTAATGTGTTTCTGTACAAATCTCATTGTAGCTGATAGTTTCCCGTGAACTTTGGGTCAAAACTCTGTGCTTTTCGAGAAAACAAGGGACGGCGGCCGACGCATTTCACCAACGTAGAAAAAAAGCGTACGTCACTCACACAGACGTAGGCAACCACGTATAAAGTTCAAAGTTTTCCGATCCCGACTCGAAATCAAATCAAAAGTGGGCACAATCGCGACTTGCCTGGACCAGGAGTTTGGGGCAATGGTCATTGTGCGAGTGTGACGTCGTCGGCTTGGAGCTCAGTTCTGAGCTGGAATTAGAGACGGTGGCAGGGCCTCTCGGGGCAGCTGGCAACCCTGGCGCCTGCGGGCGTGTGTGTGTGCGGGGTGTCGGTGTGTTGGTGGGTTTGCCCCGCTCCCCGCAGCTCGAAATTAAAAGCTGCTACGTGTAGTTTTCGGTTTCGGCTGCTTCCAGCCCAACTATCGTCAGCGTCTTCCAGAGCGTAGAGCATCTTTATCTGCGCATTGTGGGAACGAATCTCTGGATATTTGAAGTCCCCAAACAAGTTGAAAGCATGTAGATAACTGCGCGTTTGCCAGTGATTTCAAACCTCCCGAGATTCCCGTATGTTTCGTTGGCAACACTTTGTTTTTTGAGTGGGTGACGTTGAGGGCGTACTCCTAGGCTCTCCGATTTTAACACAAAATGCACTGCACATTCCATCCTGCTCGATTGCGGACCTCACAAGACGTCAGCAATGACTCACCGTAGAGTCGGGGACTTCCCCTCCGCCCAGTAAACTCACTGAAAAATGCAATCTACCTGGCCGCTGGTCCCATCACTTACGCACCTTTTGGGCCGCACGTTTCTTGAGAACGCGGGTGGGAAGGGTGGTTGGTGGGAGTTGGGAGAGCGGCACCGAGCGCCCCGGAGCCGTCATCGTTCCGTACTGAAAATCGATATCTTATCAGCGGCAGCCGCTAGCTGGCCCCATACTTAGAGCCAGCGAATTGTGTTCGACACATCCTCCCATTGCTTTATTAATCATTGAGCAATTAATTATATAAACAACTTTGCGAGACTGCCACACTTAAACACATTCAGAAACAGAAACAGCTTTATTACAATAAAAGAAACGAAATTTCGTTAGCGATTCGCTTAGTCTCTTCCGGTTTTTATTATGACTCAGTTGGGGCTGATATCAACACGTAACCCAAAAGCCGTTCAAACCTCACTAGCTTTGCTTCTCCCGTCGTTCGGGCCATTACCCATTGTCTAGCCTCTTCAGAACGGTTGTGCTGCGAATAACGCTCGACTATAACTCTCGATTCCGTTGTCCTCTTTGCAGATTCTCTTAGTCCAAGCTCACAAGTCCGCAGTTTGCATATTCTGATCGGTATTGCAACTCGGATTTGAACTTGTCATAATTCCAGCCAGCAAGCAGCGCGTACGCCAGCCAGAGATTCAACTTCCTACGACTCCTATTGTGCAATCGAAAGACAAACGTAAGCCATGGGAAACGTATTCGCGAACCTCTTCAAAGGCCTCTTCGGCAAAAAGGAAATGAGGATACTGATGGTCGGTTTGGATGCCGCTGGTAAAACCACAATTCTGTACAAACTCAAATTAGGCGAAATTGTTACAACGATACCTACTATTGGTGAGTGCTAAGCGCGCCCAACGCCTCCTTTTTATATTAAAACGTTTCCCAATTTTCCCTAGGTTTCAATGTGGAGACTGTAGAATACAAGAATATTAGCTTTACAGTGTGGGATGTGGGCGGCCAAGACAAAATTCGTCCCCTGTGGAGGCACTACTTCCAGAATACACAAGTAAGTGTGACTCCAACTGATCCTGAATCCCATGCGATTCTAGATGATGTTAACAACTTGTAATGAATACTCTGTGATTATTCAAAGTTTATTTTGTTTCAAGACGGGACTGATGCTCTATCAGATATCCTACATCCGTTTTCCTCAAGGCACGGCAATTTGAATAATGTTTTCTTGCCTTTTGCAGGGTCTTATCTTCGTTGTGGACAGCAATGACCGAGAGCGTATCGGGGAGGCGAGAGAGGAGTTGATGCGCATGCTGGCGGAGGACGAGCTGAGGGATGCAGTCTTACTTATCTTCGCAAACAAACAGGTAGGTTCCAGCACTAGCACTGCCATAATCAGCATCCGCACTTGGGTTCAATTGTGAACCGTACCCGCAATTTGTAATACTTCTAACGTGCCGCACTCTTGCCTCAATTCGTTTTAGGATCTGCCAAATGCTATGAACGCGGCCGAAATTACCGACAAACTCGGCTTGCACTCACTCAGAAACCGCAACTGGTACATCCAGGCGACGTGTGCAACCAGCGGCGATGGGCTCTACGAGGGTCTCGACTGGCTGTCCAACCAATTGAAGAACGCTAATCGCTAATTAAACACACTACAACTAAAGCAACAATATGAATACAACTAACTCTGATTTCAAGCAAGCCGGAGCAGCACCCAAAATCACAGGAAGATCGGCTGGAGAACATCAAACAGACGGTAAACGCTGGAAGTCGACATCAGAAGGAATTATCACAAAACAGCAGCGGCAACAAAACCAACAACAAGAGCAGCAGATCTTCGCATAACTTAATGGGCTCCTTCTGTCCGTATTTCCAAACAAGAAACTGAAATTGTTTATTGAATTGCAAAACATAACCTTTCAAGCAGCATATAAAAAACGCTATAATTTAATTTAAATTCGTATACATAATTATTGGATGTTTAAAAGCAAAACGAGTAAAAGAGACCCCAACCAATCACAAGAGAAAGGAAAACTATAGTATATGGTATAAAAATGTCTTTTTTAAGTTATTTTTGTCCTCTCCCTCCCCTCATCAATATATATTTCTTTTTAATTTTATAAATATAAAAGTAATATTAATGAGAAAAAAACTGTAATTGTAATTGCTCTTTAAAAATACAACAAAAACCATTTTAATTTTTAACCCATTTTTTTCTTGTCGCTTGGCAATGCAAAACCCATAAAAACTCACGCATATACCTAAGACCATTAAAAAAAGGAAGGTACTACTTTAAAGGTAATTTGAAATAAAACTAAATATTGATGAAAAAACCGCCCAGCTGAAAATGTTTGCAATGCGTTTCAAAAAGTCCGCGCAGTGTCGACTTCGTCTATCGCTACTAGATTGCCAGTCACCACGGTTGCCTATCGAAATTGGCCAGCACTGTTAAAAGGTGGAAAGTGCACGTTAAACAACACTACGCAACCAATTGTCGGAAAAAATTGTCACTTAATTCTGTAAATTAGCTAGAAATTAAATAAAAGCATCGCAGCATGTCGGCCAAGCAAAATTCGAAGAAGTTCAAATGGGCGCTGGACTTCAACGTGAGGTAGTAGTTGCTGCCCAGCAATTTGATACACCTTGTCACCCCATACGCTTTCCCTCTGCAGCAAAAACGCCGATATTCCCTCGCCATTAGGCTACAATCCTTCTGCCCTGGTGAACCAGAGCGAGGTGGTGCGCGACCAGCGCCTGGTAATCAAGAAATCCTGGGACCTCGCCCTGGGACCCCTGAAGAACGTAAGTACTACCCCAGCTGGAAGACCGAGAAATAACCTTTGGGTTCCCACAGATTCCCATGAACCTGTTCATCATGTACATGTCGGGCAACTCTATCTCCATTTTCCCCATCATGATGGTCGGCATGATGCTGATCCGACCCATCAAGGCCATATTCACAACACAGGTGACTTCGAAGATGGCCGAGGGCGCCCAGGGGACTGGGCAGCGCATCGTGTACTTCCTGGGCAACCTGGCCAACGTGGCCCTGGCCCTCTACAAGTGCCACAGCATGGGGCTGCTGCCCACTCACGCCTCCGACTGGCTTGCTTTCGTCCAACCACAGACGCGACTGGAGTACTACGGCGGAGGAGTGTCTTTCGTCTAGTTTTACATGTAACATTGCTTTATTTGATCATAGATAAATTTGTTTAAACTCAAAATGGGGACTTATGCGCCATCAGTCGTCCAGTATCTTCTTGGCCTCCTTTTTGATGTCATCCACTAGTTTCTCGCCGGGCGACCTATGAAAGGTGTGTATGCGAATTGGTTTTAGTTGAAATAAAATAGATGGCAGTTTTTATTAGGGCCCCCATTAAACTCAATTGTTCTGACAAATTCGCATAGTTAGCAAAAATAGCAATATTAAATATTCTATTTGTAATGGCCACCACGATTTTGTTGTATTTTTTTCACAGTTGGCTGAGTTTTAGACTTCTTTTCAATGGCTAACTTGTATATGGAGTAATTATTTTTACTTAAACTTGCAAAGGCCATAATCTTTTAAAATGAAAACTCACAAATTTGAAAAAAGTGGATGATCCATCATAACCCGAAAAACTTATCTATGCCTGCGTTTTAAATTCCAAGTTAACACAGCCATAAAAACTGACCTTTAGAAACCTCAATCAGTTAAGCCAAAAATTCAATTGACTGAGTTTCAGACAACGATAAACTTTTATACAATTTTAGTTACAAAGGCTCGCTCAGAGATTTATTTGAATTTAGTGACGGCTACGTTTCCCATATACAAAACTACCAAGCCTTTTACTTGTTCTTGCTTTGGTCCACTAGTTCCTTCACTTTTTCGTTGAGACGCTGGATCAACTTTTGGGGATCATCTACGCGGGGGACCTAAAAGAAGCGGAAGGATTAGAACCATTAACTGATCTGGACTAATATGCTTACCTCATAGTTCTGCGAGACGTAGATGCCCGTGTAAACCCCGGCGCCAAATGTCAACTGAAAGAAAGGAGAAGACTGATGTTAGAATGCTTGCTGGAGTAGGATCTTTCAATATAAAGGTTCGAGATGTGGATGTGGACTTCGCTGACCGTGGAGAAGCCCAGCACTCTTTTGAAGGTCCAAAAGCGTTTCTTTGGGCAGCACGGCAGAGGTTCTTGTATTTCCGGGGGGGAACAGGTATTTGCAGAGCGGCTTGTCCGTTAGTTTTGAGTCTCAAAACCCGCGCCCCAAGTCCCAACAGTTTCATTTTGGCTTCAAATAATCCCAGTGTAAACAATTAATTTTGGGAGGTTCGTTTTGCTTTTCGAAGAGTCTGGATCTGAGGACTCCAGCTGTGTGAGGTTGGGTCGACATAATTTTCAAGGAGTACCTGATTGTGGGTTTGCTGTGTACTAGAGTGTGTGGGGCCTTATATAACCTTGAATTTCATGTCACATATATCAAGCAGTTTGTTTGGCGAGTTCATCTGGCCAACCACCGCACACTGGGCAAAACCACCGAAGAAAGCTTAATGAAAATCCAAAAACTCAGTCCTTTTTGGACTGAATAGACTATTTAAATATAAATGTTAATCTTGATACTTGTATATTTGCACTAGATCGTAGGATTTAGGATTGTAATATCAAATAGCTGTTTTCTTCAAAAATGACTTTTTTTGAATTTAATCGGTATATGATAGCTAATAATGGTGGAACATTTTCGAAACTTAATGGTAATGGAGTTAGTTATCTTGGTCTTTTGTCTATCACTCCTCATTAAGTATAAATTTTTAGGTACCTTGTAGGTAAGAAATCATAATCTTCTTGGTTGTGGCTTTCAAAAGATTTATACACAAAAATTTCAAACTATAATTGGCCACAAAAATTTTTAAAATAGGATAAATGTTTTCGTTTTCTTCCAAAAAAAATCACTTTTGGCCCACAGTGCAGCGGCGCGTCATCGCTGCAAAAAGCAGACCAACAAAAGATCCCATAAACCATATGGAACAGTCGAGATTCTTTGGAGACTGACATTACTTCACAGGTGCGGAGGAGCACAAGATGGATCCACCGAGAAACTTACCAAAAACTTGAGCATGGTCGAGTAACTGAAGGAGCCCTTGTCGCCCGCAACCGCCAGTGTGAGAGTCTTAGCAAAAGTGAGAACGTGCAAAATAAACGTCAAAACGGCGCGAGAGAGCGCGCTGCGAGTGGGAGCGGGGTGGAGAGCGAGAGTCTGACAGCAGCTGACTGGCCCGCTGCGATTCTCTCAGCTGTGATTATCTAATCGGGGCTGCTATGATAAGGCTCCTGCAGCTAACTGCCTTCGAACACTGAACTGTATCTGCACTTTGGTATCTCACAGTTGCTATTGCTCGTTCACCGACTGCGACTGCGGCGTACGGTGAAAACGAACAGACTCAGTAGCAGAGCAAGGGAAAGCGACACGCTAAGAGGCCAAAAATAAAACCTGTTCGTGGTTGCCACTGTCTTCTCTAATACATTTATTTACACGTTTACCTTTCCCTAAAGTTTTGTCTTTTTGATTTCGCCGCCAAAGCCTTGGACGCTTTCCAGCACTGCCAGCATGTGCGGGTCAAATACAGTCATGCGTCCGAAACTGCACTTCTCCGACTCCGACTGACTTATATTTATAGCAAAACAGTTGCGTTAATATATGTATCGAGGGAATTTAAAAGAGAGTAATAAACTAGGAATACATTTTCCCCACCGCACCTTTTTTGGTCGCGCTCGGTTTGTGTTAGGGAAGTTTGACTGTAACTGAAATAAAACAGCTTATATGGACGAATTGCGGTTTATGGTACTTCTAAAGCTATGTGTGTTAACGAATCAATTGCACTTTCCACTGGAGGTCGGACTCCCTTCGATCAGGCCAAGACCGTCGGCCGGGTTTTCAGGTAGACGAAAAGTACCAGAAAGACCGCCAGAACGCCCATCGCCGGCAGAACCACGGTCCGGATTTTGGCCTGGCTCTCGAGGTTGTCCAGCTTGCGCTCCTTCTTCTGCTTCCGCGTCTCCTTGACCTTTCCCTTCAGCTGGCGCATCTCGATCTTCTGCAGGTGTTGTTAGGGATTCCCTTAGCCTGGTGACGTGTTAAGGCCGATAAGTGCGTGTGCGTGGACCAACAAACAGGGGGCGATGCTCAACAAGTTGTTTTTGGGCCAAAGAAGAAGAAGGTTCGGCGTGGCTGGTTTCCAGCAGGCAGCATTCGACAGGCTGCACTTGGAGCAGTGTTGAACAGTTGCCGACGGGTGGTGCTGCCACTTTAAAATGCGGGGCGCGCGTTTTAAAACGTGTTTTCGGAGTTCTTTGACTAGGATCCATAATGAATAAATGCGTTAGTAATTATAAAGATTAAGCGCGTTGTTACGAAATGTAATGTTTGAGTTTGTTTCGCCATTTACTAAAAAGCTATGAGCAATCAAAGTTTTCGCTGCTATGTGGAGCAGTCTGCGAAATCGGAAACAGCCGGAAACAGCACATTTTAAAAGCTATAGAATTAAAATGTTGCATGTAGATTCTAGTAAAGCCTACCAAGCCCATGTTTCAGCGGAGTGCCACGCCCACTTTAACATCCATCAACCACCAAAACCAAAAATTGTAACTGAAATGGGTTGGTTTCGTGAATATATATGAAATTTAACAATTTCAACAAACTTAGAACCGATTTTATCAAAAGTGGTGGCGAAAAAGAGTATGATTTTTCATGTTGTAGAATCACTTATAACTGGTAAATACAATAAGAACGAAGGTGAAAGGAACCCTTTTCAACCCTATAAAGTAAATATTTTCTTATTCAGGATCAAGATCCGCATGAGAACTCGAAAGAAATAAACGCTAGAAAGTCCTAAATTGAGGAAATCTGGAAATCAGTATGCATTTTCTTGTTACCGGGTCTCGACGCGCGCCGCCCTTACAAGCGCTTTCACAAACCTAACCCACATTTCCTTTAATTAGCCTGCCCGCCGCCCCGTTAAGCCCTTTAACTGCGCCCCGTGGGCCGCAGACACCAGATACGCCAGCAACTGTTGCACCTTCACCTCTAAATGCGATTTCGAAAATGTTTGAGCAGTTCGCAGTGCCCTCGGGGTCGGGTCTCCACCGCTGCCGACTGGTCAGTCACTGCTTGGGCTTCTGCGGCGGTTGCCCCGTGGACATTCTGGCTGCTGGACACTTGATGAAGCAATAATAGTGCAGAACGCTGGTCGGACCGTGGCCAATCAGCCGGGACGCAGACGCACAGCCAAGTTTGTGCATCGGTAATGAAGCCTCGCAGCCTCGCAGCCTCGCAGCCTCGCGCATTTCGGCATCTAATTTCGCCCATTACCATAAACGGCAACCCGATCAGTTTGGACACGGATTATTGGCAACTATTTAGTCGGGCCCCAAAAGGCCCAGAGCCGCCAGCCCGGCCGAGTCCTCCCGTCAGGTTGGCCTCGATGCGCACGCGGCTGTCCGAAAGTCATGTTCTCGGCAGGCCCAATCTGAGTTTCCTGGTTCTGGCCTGTTCGTTAGCCGACTGGCCAACTATGTGTGTTGTCGTTGATTGGCCAGCCGCCGTCCGTCTCTTAGTTAAACTCCTTGTTTTGATTGCCAAGTCGTAAAATGATGGATTACCGAGTTGGGATTTATTTCTTGTTACGGTCATAATAGATTATCTTTGCTCACTCATTGTCAGAGCGCTGCGCTTCCCCCAACTGCCCTCCCAAATCTCCTGACTGCTCGTTAGGTCCCGAAAGGCGGACTCTGCCTACCGTTTGGGAAGAAGCTCTCGAGCCGGGAGTCGTTGTCGTCGCAAGATTTGGCGTCTTGATGGAGCATGCCTAATCACATGGCCTACGATCGCAAGATGCGAATGAGCAGGCCGCAATTAAAAACGGACCCGGTAACCATTTACATTATTGCAAAGTAATCGCATCAAATAAATTAGGTTTAACTCCAAATGGAAACTCACATACAATTACTGTTGAAGTACTTAATTGTGTTTTTATTCTAAGAACCAAAATTGTGCCGAGATAGTTATACCGTACTGTAAGAATTATTTGCTAAGTAGAAAGAAGTGTTTCCGACCCTATAAGTGCTAAATATGCCATAAATGCTTAATTTTCCCTATAGGAAATCGGATAAACTTTATTTTAAAAATTGGTCACGCGTATTTTTGTGGCGCTTACGTTTTCAATGATTTGTTGGTTTTGCAATTTTTTTTTTGTTAATTTCAGCCAAAATATGAAACATTTTTGAAATCGGAAAATTCCTATAAATTGATTTTAGGTGGCCTTACAGTGATGTCAATGCCAGTATATAAATAAGAGTCGCGGCAAGACAGGCCTTTCAATTTGTATTTTACTTTTCAAGGTTATTCTTTTCTTCAATATTTATTTAAACAATGCGTATGGCGGCGACCCCATCTATTCGATGTTATACATCTCGTTCGTGGAAGCATTTCCGACCCTATAGTGTACACATATGTATTTGGATCATGTCTGTCTATCTCTGTCCGTATGAACGCTGATAAATTTAAAGCCTGTTTCCGAAGTGAAATCATTGTTAAATGCATTTTATATAACTTTTTAAGGAAAGGAAGCTATAGAAGATAGAAAGATAGGATTTTGGAGGCTCTTGCGCAGCGAAAGCTTAAGCCTGTCTAGCGCCCTCATTTTTAACAATTAAAATATAAATAAATATATATATATATAAATAATAACATAATAAATAATATATATAAATAAATAATACAAATCGTTAAAATCGGACCATTCATTAAAAAGTTATAAGCAAATAAAGTGTGCAATCTCGAAAACAGCCGATTCGTTGCAAGCATATATCCATCTCCCTCACACTCTCTTTAGCTGAGTTACGGGTACCTAATAGTCGAGGTCGTCGACTGTAGCGTTCTTTCTATTACAAAGAAGGTCAATGTTGGAAAAATGCCTTTATTTACTATACAGCTGCGAAAAAAATAATAGCACCACTTACTCGAGCAATGTTTGGATAGTCACCCTACCTATGTTTTTAGCTCTGTCAAAACATGCAATATCTTTTTGGAATCAAATTGCAACAAAGTATCAAAAAGTAAAAAAAAATTTTGATTTCTTTTTTAAATTATTTAAGAAACTTTACTAAAACTTGAAAAACTTACCAAAAAAAATAATAGCACCTCTTTTCAAAAATGGGTTTAAAATTATAGGAACTACCATGAGATAACAATATTCATGATTCATGAGATAACAATATTGAACTGTTAAATCTATGTTTATATTCTTCATTTAATACTTTGTGGTGTATCCTTTATTGGAAATATCATCTGCGCAGCTTCATGGCATGGGGTCAACTAGGTTCTTGCATCGCTTTATGGAAATTTGAGTCCAGGACTCCTTAATTACTCCCCAAAGGGATCCGATGGATGTTGGTTTTGATGCAGCGACAGCCTTCTTGACGTCCGACCATAGATTCTCTGTTGGATTAAGGTCTGGAGACTTCGGAGGCCACACCATAACGTTCACAGAGTTGTCCCCAAACCTTTTCTTTGCTTTCTTGCTGGTATGTTTGGGGTCATTATCTTGTTGAAAGACCCACACGAGCGGCATTTCATACTCTGCGAAAGGTAGCATAATGGTATCCATGATATCCACGTATACGTGCTGATCCATGATGGCCTTGATCCAATGTATCGGGCCTACTCCGTAATAAGAAAAGCAGGCCCATACCATCACACTACGCCCTACATGCTTTATGGTCCTTGTGGTGTTCTGGGGCTTAGACTCCGAGTTCTTTGGACGTCTGAAATACGATCTGGATCCTTTTCCACCAAACATAATCACCTTGCTTTCACCTGACCGTAAAATATTCCTCCACTGATCGGGTGACCAATTTGCATGATCCTTGCAAACTTCATTCGCTTAGAAATATGTCTGGCATTTAAAAGTGGTACCTTTCTCGGGCTGCAGGCTTTTAGGTTATGTTCCCTGAGATATGTAGGCACAGTTTGCACCGTCGCATTTATTTTAAGCTCCTTTTTAAGCTCAGTAGCAGATTTAAAAGGATCCTTCTTGCTGTGACATATCAATCGATTGACGTGAAGGGGGTTCATAGATTGGTTTCGTCCTCGTATTTCAGGTTTTTCTTTATAGTTTAGAGCGTTCTTAATCATTTTATTTAAACATCCGACCAATCGACCAACTACTCTGTAAGATTTTCCATCCTTTATCAACTTTCTCGGGCTGCAGGCTTTTAGGTTATGTTCCCTGAGATATGTAGGCACAGTTTGCACCGTCGCATTTATTTTAAGCTCCTTTTTAAGCTCAGTAGCAGATTTAAAAGGATCCTTCTTGCTCTGACATATCAATCGATTGACGTGAAGGGGGTTCATAGATTGGTTTAGTCCTCGTATTTCAGGTTTTTCTTTATAGTTTAGAGCGTTCTTAATCATTTTATTTAAACATCCGACCAATCGACCAACTACTCTGTAAGATTTTCCATCCTTTATCAACTTTCTCGGGCTGCAGGCTTTTAGGTTATGTTCCCTGAGATATGTAGGCACAGTTTGCACCGTCGCATTTATTTTAAGCTCCTTTTTAAGCTCAGTAGCAGATTTGAAAGGATCCTTCTTGCTCTGACATATCAATCGATTGACGTGAAGGGGGGTCATAGATTGGTTTCGTCCTCGTATTTCAGGTTTTTCTTTATAGTTTAGAGCGTTCTTAATCATTTTATTTAAACATCCGACCAATCGACCAACTACTCTGTAAGATTTTCCATCCTTTATCAACTTTTGGATGATTTCACGCTTTTCCTCAGTGCAATGCTTTCCACGTCCCATTTCAATGGTATTATCAAACTTTTTATGTTCAAAATATTGCATTATAGATAAATTTAATTGACTCGTTCATTGTATTAAGACTATTCGGCAAATTATGGGGTTTTTGCTAATAAATGTTGTAGTGGTGCTATTTTTTTTTCGCCCTTTTTTGGGCTTTTTTAATTAAACTCTTAAAAATAAATTTATAGGCAGGATTTAAAAATAAGCTAACACATTTTGTCGTTAGAAAGAATACTAAGGAGTAAAAAATTGCGATTACAGGCGAACGAATTCTTTCGAGCCGTAAGCTTCAAATAATTTTCACTCTAGCTCATTGTAGAAGAGTTTTTCAGTGTAAATTGAACTTTATTTTAATTGTAAATATCTGTCTAAATGCCAAAAATGGATTAAATCGGACCATTAGTTAATAAGTTAAATTGGTTAACTAAGTATCGGGTATATGATGGTCGAGGCATGCTAACAGTTTGAAAATATCAGAAGCGATAGTACAGGTTCCTTGGGATTATTTAACATTTCGACTTGGAGAGTTGTATTCGTAGTGTAGAGGCTCGTCGGCTTTCGTAATTTTTGTACAATTTTAGTTTTTAGTTAGTTTTTTAAAAATAAGATTTGGACATTAATCAGTTGGAAAAGCCAAAGGTTAAGAATATAAAGCAGAGTAACTAAGATGCACTTGAGATACAGGTGCAGGTCTAACCAAAGTAGTACGGGGGCGGGGCTACAAGGGCGGCAGCCTGCTGCGGAGGAGCGATGAATCTGGAAAAGACTGTTGGCCGGACAAATCCCACGGCTCCAGCCGGATAGTAGGCGATAGTGGGAGTCACTGGTACCGCCGGCACTGGGGCGGCCGGAACTGGGCGTGGCACGGCAGCTGGCCTGGGCTGTGCCACATCCACCTCCTCGGCGGCGTCGTCGAGATCCTCCTGGGCCTCGCTGTTGGCCACCAGGCGAGCGGGTTTCGGCTGGACCGCCGGTAAGCCAAACCCTCTGGCTGGCTTGTACCCGGCAGCCGGATAAGAGGCCGCCCTTTGCTCCTGGAGGCGCAGACGCTGCCTGGCCACGCCCACATCCGCCCCCACCACACTGAGCAGAAAGATACCTGCGAGGAGACGGGCAACCGTCGAGCTGAGTGCCATCGCGATTACTGTGTGGCGCTGGGCGGCGGGCTCGGCATTTATGCGATCTGCTTAGGATTCCGACCGTGTGCCCCCGAAACATAGTTGACATTGACCCCAAAAACAAAGCAGAAGCCGAAGCCCGAATCAATCACCTGATGCACCTGCCGGCCAGTGCAATAGTCGCCCATCAATATGCAGCCAATGTTCTAATGTTGGTCCGTTTGCGCCCGCCATTTGATTCGGTCATTTTCCAGTGGTCAGTGGTCAGTGCCCAGCTGATTATGCAGATTGCCGTAGTAGCAGTCTAGTCACGTCCGCGCCCGACACCGTAAATTAAGCCATCTGCGCCGGCGTGGGGCACTCGGGAGTGTGGGGATTGGGGCATTTGACAAAATGGCCTGCCCACCGATCGACCCCTGGAAAATTGTTTTAGATCGCGTGGCCGCGAGGCACTGGGGCATTTGCGCGGCTTGCCGCTAGCTAATCAATACAAAGCGTTTTCATTTGGCCCCATGCCGGGAGGACGAGGACACTCCCCCGGACCACGTCGCATAAATTCGCCATAAGTTAGGCGCTCCACGGCGAACGGCGATGAGAAATGCCCCATAAATCCCCGCGAAATGGCCGCCACTGGCTGCCCGAGTTGTCTAGCCCAATATTTACAGCAATTTCAATAAAAATGCAGCAGCTAATTGATGTAATTAATTTATTAAATTACATTTGCCACTTTTTTGCCGCCGCTCGCCAGCCTGCCTGCCGGTTTTCTCCATTTCCAACTGCATCCCATCCCCGTTCCTGCTGCACTCAATGGGAGGCATCCACAAACGGACAGAAGTCGGTAGTTGGCAGTCAGTTTATGGGCCAGAGAAACTGCGTTTGGGCCGAGGAGGAGAGAGATGTGTCGTCATTAGCATGTGCTGCATCTGCGGATGGAAATCGACTGGCAACGGGGCAACTGTACTGCGGTTCGATTAGCTTTCAGCCATTGTTAATTGGCAAGGCTCGCAGCCCATCTGCAGCCGAAATTGCTTTTCCAGAGCATTGTTCGTGCGTCATTCCGGCCAGAATGTCTGAGTAATTGTGGCGAATTCTAATCCAGCTCGCATGCGCCCAGGTCCCAGCTATCCGGGTTCAGGCCTGTGTCTCTTCCGAGAACTCCACGGAGTCCATCCATTCGAAAACTGGGCGTCATATTTCAGGCCGCTGCGGTGACCACGCATGAGTCGTTGCCCCAGCTTCAGCTGCAGCTTCAGATTCAGATTCAGCTTCGCCTTCTGCCAAGCCATCCTCATCTGGGTCCTTGCCCCCTTTCCCGTCCCCATTCCGATTTGTGTGGATGCTGCAGCTCTGAATTGATGCGCCCGGTGCACTCACAATTAATATTTGGCTGGCCAAAGAGACGGCTGCCGGTGGCTGGAAGCCGGGCAGAGATTTCTCTAATGCCCGCCCGGTTTGCAGGCGCTATCACTTGATTTATTTTCTCTTTTAGTGTCTTTTATTTTATGATTTATGCAGAGCCACCAGTTGGGGCGTAGTATTATGCCCCGCACTGTACTGCTCTGAGCTGGAGGTGATCATCCCATCGCTGGCTGCCTGCACTTGTGCTGCTCGTCACGTTCCTGGCCGACGACGATCTGCTGACTCAGGATCCCCATTCCCCATAGTCCATACCCATTTCCCCATACCCCTTACCCATTGGCCAAGTGGCAGAAATAGACAAAGGCGGCGTTAACGACAATTGCGCACTAATTATCGCCTCATGCGATGGGCTGGGGACTGGTATGGGGACTCTGAAAGGCATTCCTGGCGGGCGTGAATTGAATTCCCTGCATCATGGCCACGACGATGCTGATGGTGATGAATGGCCTGCTCGAGGATTGCCACCTGTCCGGTGTTCGACGGCCACTGGTAACTACTTCATTTGGAGGCGACTAGCTCCGCACTGGAGCGGGCCGGGTCGCGCCTTGATTTATGGCGCTGGAAATTAAAGTTGCACACACTTCTGCGTGAGTTGCAGGAATGTGGCCCGCTCATTAGCCGGACAATGCGTCGGTATTTGGGTTAGGTCCAGGGAGTTATTGTCGGTCATGGTTGCTAACGGCCCTGGCCAACGCGGAAGTGCTGGGCCTAGGATAATTGCAGAACGGCAGACTGGCCTGTCCCGGCCCATCCTCATCCTCGAATCCCATATAGCCGTTTTTCGAAATCGCTGACAAATAAGTCCGTGGAGCTCGGGGAAAGATCTGGCTTGGCAGAGCTTGAAACCTGCTTACATGGCCTGGTGTGAGGTGTCAGCTATCGCCACTGACAACTGTCAGGGCAGAAGACCCCACAAGTCTTGGTTCTGGTCCCGATCCCGATCACCAATAGAGGACTCAACTTCTAAAACAAGCTTGGAGCACGCAGCTTTTCAATTAGCTCACATGCAACGAGTGGTTGGAACTCCAAGGCACATGCGATAATTCAAAAATTGCTTTGGTACTGTTCGAGCTCCAGAAGCGAATGGATCCAATGCAAATCAGCTGCCATTTCGATTGCCAGCTTCTGGTGTGACTTTTCTGGGGAGTTCCTCTGAGAGTGGGCCAGCCGTAATTAGCCACTTGCCAGGAGTTCAATGGCGTTGCCTTGGCCACGTGCCCTCCGCCGGCGGCGTGTTAACTCAAGTGTGTCTCCGTTCCTGGTGGCTTGTCACTTGAGACCAGGGAAGGATTCGGGGCGCCATTGTCACCGCCTGGCTTGCGCCAACTCATTTGCATTTGGCTGTTGCGGTTGTTGGAGAGGGTCGGGTTCTGCTTGGTGTCGATTGCCGTTTTTCCTCCCAACTCCTGCTGTCAATCTAAATCAAGAAAAACACCTCTTGACGAGGTAAAAAACTAGTGACGATCGCACCTTCAACCTTTCTGACGAAACGAAAACTTAATTGAAATGCATCTAAGTAGAGAAGCAGCGTTAAGAAAATTGCACCATATTTTGAATGCGTGAAATCAAATCCATGTATATATTTATTCTCAGCTGATAGATACGCCAGACAGGCAAAAATAAATTTAATGTTTTAGACATATGGCTTCATTTCATAAACGGCAGAGGTTAAAATAAATTACGAAAACTAATTTCTATTGCCGCTTAGTAAAAAAAGAACCTATTAAGGGCAAGGCGTAAACGAGTCTATATTTGTAGACATGTTTTTACAAACCGAAAACATGATTTGATTTCAGTTCAAATTTTCCATTTTTTAAGAAGAAGAAATCGTAAGAAATCGTAAAGGAAATGTTATTCCTAAAACGGCGCTAAAATCTTTCCTATCACTTTTAAAAAGAGTTTCCTAAACGCGGAGAAAGTCGCGGTTAGTATATCTGATAGTCGAGGCCGTCGACTGCAGCGTTCTCTCTTGTTTTTAAATAGAATTCTATAAAAAAAGTTATAAAATGCAACTTGAGCTTACCGAATATATGTTTCTCATTCAATTATTCGAACGCACATTTAGAACGACAATATAACTCCAGTTGTTTGAGCACAAGACTTTTGCAAAAAGTAAGATTTTAAAATTTAAGTTTAAAGCTAAAACTCGCCTGGCGCCCACATGTCAACAACTTTTTTCATTAACACAAAATTAGGTTTGGTTATGGGGTTAATCCATGTCCGGTTCGTTTTTAATGATTTTTTTAACATTTATTGTGAAGGGTTATTTAAACATAAGCTTTGATTTTTTTTATATAATTATATACAAAGTACATTTAAAATCTAGTTTAAGATATAAAAATAAAAACTTTTTGTGCACAGCTCTAACTTGCGGTTTCCTGCACTTTTAAAATGTCCTAAAAACTCAACAGTTTTCTAGCAGGGATCTATTTTATCCATCTTTTATTTGCTATCAGACATTTTCAGTTAACCACATCAGATATAAGCTTAGATAGTTATTTAGGTTGCAGACGATTACTCGTAAGCTAATTGTCGAATAGGTTTCAAAATTGGCATCCAAGCGCTCCTTTCAATTATCTACCATTGCTACCATTGCTGATGCAAAATTTTGAAAAACTACTTCTGTGTCCTTTATTTAATTTGAGAGAAAAGGCTGAGATCGAAAAACTTTTCCTTCTAAATTCTGGTTTCAATTTAATTGCTTTAAAAAGACTTCTCTAACTTTCCACCAAAAAATTTCTCCTCCTTGTTGGTTTCACCGGAATGGATTGGCAAGTTCATGACACCACGTGGGCAACACAGAAACATTGGCGACAACCCGCCACAACATCGGGTTTTGGCTCATGTTGTTGCTGCGGCAACTGGCAACAGGTTGCTGCTGCAGCCGATATCAAATTTCAAGTTAGCTCAGCCAATTGGCGTTCAAAGGAATGCTAAGTTAAATGGGAAAAAATCCATACCGTCTGTTAAATTGCTATCCATGTTTTTGCACTTGTATGAGGCTGGGCCCATCCTTAATGAAAAGATGCCAAATGGAATCATCCCAAAACTTAAAATTAAATAACTTTTTCAAAAGAAATTAAGGCAAGAGAAATATATATCTCTGCGGACGGCAGTTCACGTAGTGACGAAGCGCACTAAGCAACATGAGCTTAGGCTCAACATAAGCTCAAGATAGAAAACTTTTGTTTTACGAGAAAAGAATCCGTTACTTTGACGTGGATCCAAAATAATAGCTAAACTTAAGGCTTACACTATCCAAAATACTAATGATACAGATTCGTTCTATATGTCACAGAAAAAGTAAATTAAAATGCTGATCACACTTAGATTCTTTAAATACAAAAAATTTAAAGTTATAGCAAAAAGTTTCTTAAATAAACTTTTTCTATATTTTCTTAAAATTGGTTCGAACTATTTCCTTTTTAAATTTTAAATTATATTGCCCTTGATATACCTCAACTGTTGATATATAAATATTATAAAAATAAAAATCACCGTTTGGAAGCGATAAAAAGTGCAATCCGTTTTAGTTCGGAAAGAAAAACATTTCATGCTTTCTTGAATGGCCAAAAACTATGTAACATTAAGTTGATGAAAAAAACATCTTATTAAATACTTTTTAAGTTGAAGAAAAATATTTACAAGTATGTCATCAAAAATAAATATTAAGTTTGTTAATAAATTATTTATTAAAACTAAAAATAAGGTTTACATACTTTATTTAAGTGTTCTAGAAAAACGGCTTCTATACTTAAGTATGGTACGGCATACAGTAACAATTCGACTTGGCCTTGCCAACGGAAATATATATAACTATTGATTTTAATGCTATTACAATAGCTCATACGAGTATAAGTATTACAGCGAAAGTGAATAGAACTCCCATTTTATAATTGATGATTAAAACAAAAACTTATAATTCAAAAAAAAATTGTTTTAGCGGGGTAAAGGGTCGTGACGATCGCACCTTTAACATACAAAAGTTCTGATATACAACTATGTAACGAAAAATGATTGTACATCCGACTAAATAAATATAATTTCTAAAATCTTTTCATTCGGCACGCTACAATAGAATATACCTTTGTATGTAAGGATCTTAAACATGTTGATGGAGCTTGCAGAATGGAAGTTTATTTTTTTGTATGTTGAAGGGCCGATCGTCACGACCCCTTACCTCGTTAAGAGGTGATTTTGTTTAATTTAATAGACTTCAAATGTTCGATACTGTTTTATCTTTTGAATATCAAAGGCATTCGCAGATGAAAGTTATGGTCGATGGGGATCAACAAGATTTTGGGCAAAAAAAAATAGTTTCATGATTTCTTTTTCAACACAACATTAATGTGAAAAAAAAGTTATAAAATATGGAAAACTCTAAAAAACCTACTGCTTAAACAAAAGAGTTAAAAAATAACAACAAAGTTAGTTTTGCGTGGCACACTTGCGATGAATGAATAGCTAAGGTATATGAATCTGAAACAACAACTCTCTAGCTTTTCTAGTTTCCGTGATCACAGGGTTCACACAGATAGACTAGATCGACATGGACAAATCGACTCAGCTAGTAATCCAGATCAAAGATTTTATTTTATATGATCGAAATACAATATACCCTTTATACAAATAGGACAAACCGAATATGTCACGATTGTTTGTACCTAAAAACACTGAATCTGAAAAATTTTTTATACGGAGTATTTTATTGTAAATTTCCTTACGATACGTAACGTATTAAAAGTGAATAGTTAAACAAAAATTATTAATACTTTTTTACAGCAATTTACACTAAACAATTCCGTTCGATCGGTGTATCACTCGTTTTGATCGCACTATCTTAGCAGATAATACACATACTTGGGATTGAGATTCTTTTTTTTTCGGGGTGTCACTGAAGGCAGACAAACACGAAAAGCTAGAAAACAAAGCGTTCGCTTGTCCAGAGCAATTATCTTTGAAAAAGGAACATGCCTGACCTTTCTTGAGATGAAAGATGGGACAGTTTGAAAAGCAACTCAAAAAGATAAAATAAAATAAAGACAAGAAAGATCGCTATAGTCGAGTGCCTCGACTATCATATTTAGCTTATTAACTAGTGGCCTGATTTTATCAACTTTTGGCACGTCAATAGATATAAAAAAACAACAAAAAAATGTACCTTTTTAGGCATGTTGTACTGCGGCGTGTCGAATGATAAAATTTGAAAATGGTATTTATTTAGAAGATCGTATAACAAATTTTCGCCACAATAGTTGATATCAGAACTTTTGTATGTTAAGGTGCGGTAGTCACTAGTTAACTTTTTAACTAATGGTCGTATTTAATCAACTTTTAGCACGTCAATAGATACTTAAAAACAAAATAAAAAGGTACCATGAAAAAAAAAGTTTTCATAAAGGTGGGCGACACAAACTCTTGCGATTTGTGAGAGTGGGCGTGGTAAACATGTTTTTTGCCAATCAATTGGTATTGACGAAACCAACATATTTCACTTAAAATACACGTGCGCCGCACAAGAATCTCTGCATGGTTTCCTTTAGCTGCAACTTCCTAGCTTTTATAGTTTCCGATATCTTTGCGTTCATACGGACAGGCGAATACGGATAGTTTGACACGGTCACACAAATTTAAGGTCGAAAATGATTCCTTACACCTCTTACATACTGTTACATACCCTTTAACCATTTGAGTAACGGGTGTAAAAAGAAGCAAGAACGGTGTTTTTATGGGAAAGGTATTGGTAGTTTCGGGCGCGTATTTGAACAACAGATATGGCATGGTCTGCCAACAAAGACTGTTGCATGCCACATACGAGCTGCCAAGAGAAACGCGTAGCGAGCCATCACATGGGAGGGTAAGAGGTTGGCGGCAAGTGGCACTTATCATGCATGCGCCAGAAGAAACAGCAGCGCAGCAAACGCAGAGAATTTAATGGACTGTAATTACGCTTTGCAGTTGCACTGGGAGCTGGTGATTCTTGTCTGCTGCACTCTATAGAAAATTAAGACCTAAATTTGCCTGTGCAAAATTTACGACGTGTTTACGATGGCTCAAATTATTGGTTGCGCTAATGCGTTACAGAAACGCGAAGTTAATTTCCGCTTTCTGCGCTCCCGGACTGGTTATCAGATCTCAGCCACGGCCACGCCCCTTCCTCCCGGTACGGATATGAAAAAAGGGAAGGAGACCAGGTGTCAACTGTCAGGTCAAAATATTATAGGTCTGGAATCTCAGCAAGAGTTTAGTTCAAATTTTCAGTGATTGGTTTCAACATATCCAAGCGTAGTTAATTTGTAAATTTTCGGTGAAATGGATTTGGAACGTGAATTGCCCACCGATGATGCCTCTATGGAGCTGGAGGGGGCCGAACAGTGGACTGATCTCAATTCGTCTGACAGTCTGCTCACTCTGAAGCGGAGTTGGAGCCAGGAGACAATGAGACCACCCTCGGATGAAGAGGCTGTTCCATTCGAACTCAGCTCGGACGACATCCACCTTGGTCTGCTGGTAGAGGTTAGTACGATCACTTTAGGAGATTGGTAATAACGAATACAGCCCCGCAGAAGGGATTGATCGAGTACGACTCCCTCAACCAGCCCCCTGACGAGGACGAGGCGGGGGACTATCCCAAGCTTTTGTCCCGGACGGCGGATCGCGGGGAAATCGCTGAAATAGTCAAGGAAATGAGAAACGAATTCATGGTCAAGATGACCTCAAAGGCCAAGAGCTTCAAGGAAATTCTAATTAAGGTAGGATTGAGTACTTGTGTGTACTTGAATGATTTCTTCCTGTTGTTCTTTCAGAAGGGAATGATGGAGCCGATGGAAGGCAGCAACGTTCATCATGATCATAAGTCCGATGTGAAGGATAAAGTTAAGACTGATAACGATTCTAAGATTCCTGAACTCGAAATCAATGCAGACAAGGCTCTTAGGACAACCCTGAAACAAGAGGCCAATCCGAATGTTGAGATCACCCAGCTTATCAACGAAATCAATCAATTCACCTCCGGAATGGAGACAGATCCTGACAGCGCGGACTGGCCTAACTTCCGGGCCAACCTGCTGAAAATACATAAACACTATGTCAGCGTTGGTGACCCGGAAACAAAGGAGCCACCGTGCGCAGTCCATATCCGATCTCCACCAGAAGCAGCCGATATCAGCGAGCCCTTGAAAGACCTCCGCAATCGCGCCAAGAACCTCGGAAGAAACATCCGAGGCCTCGAGTGCAAGATGCTCACCCTGGACCACTCCTTTGATGTCTTCTGCGATAAGTTCAATCGCAGCTTGATCACCAAGGAGCGAGTGGAGCGGGACATGGTGGTGCTTGCGATGATGCGCGATGGGATAGGTCGCCGGCTTAGCCAAATGGAAGCGGAATTCCGCAGGGCCAAGGAGCATTTGTACAATCGGGGCAGAACACCAGAAGTCAGAGCCAACTCGATTCTTCCTCCGCCAATTACCCAGTTAGTTGAACATGGGTGTGACTAGGCGGATCGCAGTGACTTTTCCAGCCGTCCAAATCGGGTTAAAAAACCTAAGAGAATGTGCCTTATATTTTTGAATACATCTTCTGATCAAAGCTAGAAAACCATATATTTGTTTACCTAAGCCTGATCTGTAATATTTTTTAAAATATTTTTGTAAAGTACAAATTATGTAAAGGTTAATGGTATCTTGCTGTGTCTATATCTGCAATAAGTTGAGTAAGTTGGGTTCCAAATAACCCAATATTTTTCTTTAATAAAAGGTCTATTGCGTTTATGTAAATATTTATAGGCAACTATTTAGGGTGGCATACTGAAGATAACAATTACACATTCCGACCAAAAATGTTCTTTATTAATAAAGCACGTCTCATATAATTTTATTCAGATAAATTGGGCTTTTCCTAGCATAGCGTGTGAACGCCGTGATCTCGGTAACTAAAAAAGATAAAGATGCTGATGTGCAACGCCCACTCTAACGCCCAGATTGCTCCCACATTTCAAAATGTTTTGAAAAAGTTTCAATGTAATTTTGTTTTGTGAAAAGTTATGAGCAATTACTACGTGTATCTTCAAGTTTGGTCAACCCAATTACAATTAATAGTCTTGTATGCACATGTGCCTTCTATATGGTTGTCTACGATTTGCCATCTTTTCCTACTATCCCAATCATCAGGCTTCTGTGAAATTTTTTCGATATTTAGTCGACCATGACAAACCAGTTACAAATATTTGTTCGTCCGTAGCTCCAAAATTTCTGAATTTTTGAAAGGTTCCGCCTCGCAGGATGCTTTTTCCGCCAGCTTGCCTTCCGTGAATTCTGTTAGAGCCTTTATGGGTTACCGCCAAGTCATCGCCCTCGCCGTGCAATCGTTCGTAATGTGTCACCGGCAAAGCCACAACTTCGTGCGGGACATCTTGGTTCCGGAGGGTCCTCCATCACTTACGCCGAAGTTCTACATCCTGCCGGAGGAGAACAGGCAGCAAATCGAGGATGTACAGCGAGGAGTTTGCCAATACCGACGGCATTTTAAGGCAGCTGAGACAGGCTGCTCCCCTGTCGGCGCGGAGCGAGTCCACCACCTGGCTGACGCCGTGCAACTGTCTGCCCATCTGGAGCCGGCGGCTGACCCGCAACGCAGAGGGCAGCCCCGGCACTCCGGCATACTCAGTGCCGGAACTTCGAGGTGGAGATGGCGGACAGGCTGTGGTCGCTGTGGGGCGGTCTGCATCCGAGGGCTCCCTGGTTCGACGCGAAGGTGCGAGGTCGCCAGACGCTGGCGTGCTGCGTGGTGGCCTGCTGTGTGGCCAGCACATTCCGCCGCCTGGGCGAGTGGAGCGGGAAGCTGCTCGACGCGATCGTGGTTGACGGGGACCGCTACTACCGCGCCAGCGTGGAACAGAGCGAGCGCTGGGACCAACAACTGGGGGTGGACGACTTGGGCAGCGAGTGCTCGTTTCAGGACCTGCGATTCCTGGTGCAAACGGAGCTGGTGGCCTTCGGACTTGTGTACAGCGCACCAGCCAGCGCCGCCATGAGTCTGCTGGAGAGCCTCAACTACTTCTTCACGCGCTACCAGTGGGGCATCCTGGAGTGCCAGGGGCGGCACTTCGCCTTCGGGCACAGCTCCAGCCGCGATGGAGGCTACTTCCTCTTCGACTGCTCTGCGTGGGGCAAGCCCGTTTTCCCGGACGACATGGGCGCCGCGTACGTGCTGGTGGCCAAGCAGCTGCAGATGCTGCTCTACTGTTTTGTCGTCACGCTCAATGTGCGGCGCCGAAATGTCGAGTTCCGGCTTTACAACGTGGACATGGCCCGCAAGCCCAGCGATCCCCGGAAACACCATCACGATCCCAAAGGGGAAGCTTAATTTACATAAGATTCGTATTATACACGAGCTTCGCTGTACGACGGACAAATAGATAGATGGATCTGAAATCAATACGGTACTAACTAAGTTCATGCTCAAGGGATTATTATTTACTAGTCATTGCTAACCTGTAAAGAAATATCAGGGAACGTAACGATTATAATTATACCCGTTACTCATAGAGTATATTAGGGTATATTGTTTTCGGTGAAGAGTAAGTAACAGGTAGAAAGTGTCTCCAATCCTATAAAGTATATATTCTTGATCAGGATCACCTGCCGAGTCGATCTAGGCATAGACGGACATGCCTAGATCGTCTGTCCGTCCGTATGAACGTAGAGATCTCGGAAATTAAAACTAGAAAGTGGGGAGCTTCGTTCGCAGCGCAAGTTTGTCTCAGTAAGATTCCAAGCCCACTTTAACGCCCATAATGCTAAAATCAGTCTATTTTCAAATAATTTAAATAAGTGTTTGTTTTGATTATCAATGTCCAACTACATTCCAAAAATTGGCAAATTCATGCCATTCATTAACAAGTTATAGGCAAAAAATGTGTGCTCCCAGTAAAAATAGTCGATGGCATCGACTCAAGCGTTCTCTTGTTTTTACTGGTGGGCTTGCATTAAATGGTAAGTTTCATATAAAATTCGGATTTAAGCCTCCAACCAAAAAGCTCTTCTTATTTTTGTAAATTTTTACCGGAGACCGTAGATAAGAGTTGTTTGTGATTTTTATTTTAAAAGACGTACTGGGATGTATTATGCATACATTTTGTATACAATATAGTAGTATTCGGGGAAAGTATGTAACACGTAGAAGAAAGCGTTTCCTTTAAATTGTATATAATCTTGATGAGTATCACTAGCCGATTCGATCTATCTCGCTGTGATCTCGTATACTATAAGATCTAGATACGCATATCTAGAAAGATCCCCCATAACGGCCCTAGATATGACTGGCCCGCCCACATTACCGTATACTGAAATCGAGTGTAGGGGGCGCTTTACAATCTCTCTTTGCTGCTTGTAAATCTTTATCTCCCTTTTGCATCTCTAGCTAACGGCTATCTGATAGTCAAGGTACTCAACTATAGCGTTTTCTCTAGTAAATTTTGAACTTATGCATTTTGTAGTCATAAAGTTTGGTTTGTTTATCGAATTTGCTGAATGCTTCGAAACTTTGTGGGCAAGATCAAAAATAGCATTATTTTCGAGCAGCCATTTTTACTCCTTTTGACCGCTATCAGTATGTTGTCAAATTGGGAAGGATCGATTATGTTGTATTATTTTTTATTTTAATCTCCAAACAAAAATTTAGCTTTCGAATACATTTTTTCCCCAACTTAAATCTACCATTTGAAGGAGTGTGAACACGATTATTTTTTGACCGTCCTAGTGTGCACTGGGAACGTTCTGATATTGAGTTTTTACGCCGGTAACGCGTACAGTGAAAGGGTGTATTGTATCCCGGCCTTATAAAGTATATACTTAAGGCACCAGCCAACTAAACAAAATATGTCTCCGTGAATTACAGTAACTTTTTGTTGATGTGACTGATGTGTTATACATTTCGGACACAGATTCTTTCTGCAGGACCCAACCACAAATATACAATTATAGGAAACGGTCAGAAATAATATTGAAATGTGATAAGACATTGGGCTCTCTAAAGTGTACTGTTTTATATGGCAACAATAGTGCAATTGTAATCGTCCTCGGAGACAGTTTTTCCTCGAGACATTTTTCACGCCCCACTGTGTGGCCAAGCAACCAACTGACTCAGAAAACCAGTTCCGTTTCAAAACCAAAACAAAAGATTTTGTTGTTCTCTTTGCCAGTCGCGAGAAGATAAAAATAAAAAGAAATAATAAATAAAAGTAAAACCTGTCCACTACGCAAATATGCAAAACAGAGCACGGAAACTGTGAATCAGGCTGAGAAGTACGAGAACGAAATAAACACAAACAGCCAGCAAGCAAGAAGCGCCCGAACGGCGAGGCGGAATAAAACAAAACTGCATTCCGAAAACTCAGTCAAATGCAAAAAAGCCAGAGCAATGCAAAAAAGCAGCTCGCAGCACGAGACAACTCAAAACTTCTAAAAAGGGCAGCGAAACGCAGTGGCAGAGTGGCAAATCGACCAAAAAGAAATCCGGTTTCGTTTTCAACCAGATCGAGGACCCGGGAACGTCCCTTTGTTGTAGTGCCCCTCCTGTATTTACTGCCTCGTTTTTGTTCCAGCCGCTTTCGACGGCGAGTAGATGCAGATGGAGGGGTGGGGGGTGGCAGTGGGTGTGGAGCTGGGCGAATCGAAAACCCACTGCCAGGATGGATTGCCCGGGAGACGAACTTGAAATTTAGATTTCGAGAGCAGCCACCAGCGATGCAGGCGTCGCAGTCGCGGTCGCCGTCGACGTCGCCGTCGCAGTCGCAGCACTCAACGCGTGCCGGCAGCGGAGAGCTCTCTGCAGCTTCAGGTAGGCGCCCTGGTGAGAGCCCTGCTCTCCACTGCACACGAACACTGCTGCAGTTCTTTGGAGGGTGGGGTGGGCAGAGCTCCGCTCTCTTTTTCTCTCCAAGCAGCCAGGCTGGAGAGTTTTATTGATTTTTGTTGCACTTCATGCGGATCAAAATCGCATGCGATTTCCCCCAGTGTGCTGGGCAAAAGTTTAAATTAGAATTCCTGGCTGGCACTGAGAACAGCGTTTTACCTTTGGACTTCCCGTAACTTTCTTTAAAGTTTACCAGTGACAAATGCATCTGACAATCGAGCATCATCTTGCCGCCCCAGGCAAGAAATTGCGACATCCAAATGATGCCAGTTACAACTTCAAACTGATAACAGAGCTGGCCTAAACACAAAGATAAAGAGCGGCCGAAGTTAGAGGTCAGTGCATCATCTAGCTTCGCTCTCGCCGCTCTTCACTGGGTTCAAAAAAGAAAAAACGCAAGTCCATATTCGCAAATAAAGTAAATGGAAATGACTAAAAAGTGAAATCCGTTAAAACTGCCAAAACCAAAGCGAGCAACAAAAAGCCACTGCAGTTGGAGCACTGTTTTCTGCAGCCTTGGTTGGTGGGGGTGGTGGATGTGTGCATTGGTGGGTGGTGGGAGGTGAAAGAGGTAGTGCGGGGGGCAACGTCAAAAGAAAACTGTAGAAAGGTCACTCACTACCGAAGGGCGGGGTGGGAGTAGCCAGAAATTAATGATCTTCAGCAGGGATTTTGCTAGTTCCTCGCCAGTCCAAATTACCTTGTTTTCGGAGAAGACATTTTACAATGCGGGTGTGACGGACTCATCCCATAATACTGCCCCGCATCGGTGCAGATAAGGTAAAATCGGACGGGATCCTTACATTCCTTTGATGCTAGTTACTCGATACTAATAAAACATTCGAAAGATCGTTTGGAAAGACCATTCGAAAGCAAGAATCAGTTTGCCCAATTAGTACACAAACATATATTCTAAAGGGAAATGTTAAAGGTCTTTTTTGGCGTGTGGTTTTCAGGTATATAAATTGGAGTATATGAATTGGTTACAGAGACAAGGGTTTGCCTTATGTTTAAACTTTAAAATAGATTTCTGGCCCATGTTTATGGAGTTTCTTTGTTTGTGTCGTTTAACAGTTTGTCTTGCTCACTCTTAATAGATGATTATGACCATAGGAAAAAATTCTATATATACCGTATTCAAAAAATGGCTCCAACTTAAAAAAAGAATGGATGGTAACAAACTAGCGCATATATTCAAAGAAAATAAATATGTTTTTTTGTGGGGGCAAGCCTTAAATGTTTGTATTAAAAATTAATTGGTTTTTTAAGAAATTAAAAAATGTATTTTGAAAAAAGGAATTTTAAATACAAAAGAAACAAAATTAGTCTGAATACTAAATCTGGAGATTCATGTAGACGTTCAGAGCGATTTTTTTTTTAAATTTGCGGTTTTTAATTAAATTTAGAACATTTTAAAATCCTGATGATGTTCGCTTTGTAAAAGAAAGGCCGATACATGTCTATTTCAAGAAGCATTGACCTCTACTTTTTTCGCTTATTGACTTTAACCCCAGTTCTATGGAGATTTTTGCCGTAAAATTTGTACGAGTGGGACCATTAGCATTACCTTTTATAAAAAAAAGAAGGCCTATTTGTCGGTTGACGCTGCTTTAATGTTTTTTTAAAATTTAATTTCTTCTGTACTTTAATCTTTCCTTTTTATTAAATTTTACGTTAAAGTTGGTCTAGTTCTTTGCGGCTTGTTCGACTCTCCACAGATTGAGTCTCAAGCTGATCCTTCGCGTTCTTGTTAAACGTGTGTTTCCAGATCGTCGAGATTCCGAGCCGGAACACTATGCTGTCCAATTTCTGAAAGTGCTCAGCAATAGCATTGAGGCGATTTCTGACCATTGTAAGGTTCTGGGTTGTCGACTCAATGCTGATCGCAGCGCTCTTCACACTGGAAGCTTGTTGCAAGATATTTTTTGCCCGGCTCTTGTCATAGAAAACAGTATAGCGCGAATTCATGTTTGATTTTGTGTAATTTTTATTTGAACTTGGAAAGCCAAATTTGTTTTAACCTACTCCGATCTATGGATATTTGGAATAATTCAAGTAAGAAAGTAGTTGTTGTTTGTTAAATAAATGTAGGTATTTGCCTTGTATCTTTTCTGATAAATATCGCAAAAAATGGTTTTAACATTCAACTGAATAATAACAGAGCAATTTTTAGTCCAGTGTCTTCGCTATCATACACCCGATCATCAGCTTTCCAATTTTATTTATAAGATATCAGACCGATTTAAACCATATATGGTGTCTATAAATTTTAACAAGTTAAATAAAATAAAAACTACACTGAAAATAAGTCTTAAAAATCTGCATATCTTGGGCGTGGCTCTCGGACGAAGCAATCATAACTCTCTGGACTTAACTCGACTACCAGCTAAAGGGAGTGCGAGAGAGATGGAGATATGCATGCATTAAATCGACTGTTTCCGAGATGGCACAACACGCCACCCTCCGTCTATTTCTATAAACTTTTACAAAATCTGCAGGTTTTAGCGTTATTGGCGTTAGAGTGGGCGTGACACTTGGATGAAACAAACTTGCGCTGCGCAGGAAGTCCAAGAATGTACTTGCTTATTTCCAACATTTTAGCCCATAGATATCTTATAGTTTCCGAGATCTCAGCGTTTATACGGACAGACGGACATGGCTAGATCGACACGGCTAGT